ACATTAAAATCAATGTTCCAGAAAACACAATTTAAAAATTAAAAAGAAAGCAGACAAGATAAAGTTAAAGGGTGAGCAAATACAGTGTGGAACGTGCAACATAAGAAACATTCAAAGGCTGATGAAAACAGACACAAACACACACAGACACTCGCACGCACACACACATGCAAAAATACATGCACACACATACACACACACACGTTTACACATACACATGTATACAAAGGCGCACGCACGCACGCACGCACGCGCACACACACACACACACACACACAAACACTCGCACGCACACACACATGTGCAAAAATACATGCACACACATACATACTCACTCACACGTACACATACACATGTACACAAAGGCGCATGCACGCACGCACACACACACAAACATGCCAAAACACACACATACACACATGAGCGCGCAAACGAGCGCACACACACACACACACACACACACACACACACACACACACACACACACACACACACACACAATGCAGTCCCTCTTTAAAGCTCCAGAAGCCTTGATGTCAGACGTTTGCAGCTTGGATGAGGAGTTCCTCAGCTCAAGATCAAAACAACAAAAAGAAGCAGAAGAAGAGAAAGAAGTGTTCTGTCATCTAGACAGTGAAATGGATCTTTTTATTTATTTTTTCCCCCTCTCTCTACAGTTGAATCGCAAAACACCAAGAACCCCATCAATAAAAAACAGACAAGATGCCAGGGGAACTGTGGCTTCAGAAGAAGAGACAGAAAGAAACAACAAAGGAGGAAGTGGAACAGAAGAGGTTTAAGAACAGAACCAAGAGCGCAAAACACTCAGACCACCCGATTTACGCTAAACGCAGAAGAGGTGGATCCAGCGTGGTTCGTGTGTGGAACAGAGCAGAGCAGAACAGCAGATTTTAATTCCTGGTCTGATGTGTTCATGTGCTATTATGACCTCCAGAGTGCACACAGGGACTCTCAAAATCATTCAAATAATGTCATTTTCTACCCTGCTGTTCATCCTGTAAGCCAGGTGTCAATTCTTTCACTTCAGACCTACTAAACCAAAAAACCCCTTCCCGGATCTTCTTGTGATTCTTTTTTTAAAAGTCAGTGAATGCATGTAAATTGTGAACCCTTAAAACAAATAAAACAAGCTGATAACCAGACTGAGGATGTTATTTTTGCAGCTAAACACGGAGAGTCATCAAAACAGATTATGACTAAAAGGTGGAACGGTGTTTAAGCTGTAGTGTAAAGCACTTTGGAGTCCTGACTCTGAAAGGCGCTATGCAAGTACAGGTCATTTATCATTCATTAAAAACAATAAGTCCACCTTAAACACATGAATGTGTACTGGTCCCATTTCTCTCTCTCCCTATTGATCAAAAGTAGCAGGCATGTCTGACTCAAGACGTCAAGAGACACACCATCATTATCTGTGTGTGAACATTGTGTCCCAGAACACAGTAGAAACTTTTGTTGTGACATTTATGTAAAAAAATGGCCATGATGGGTGTAAAGTGGACAAGTTCATGCTTTAAACCTGCATTTGACTCAAATAATATCAGCATCCAAGATGACTGCCTAAACACCCCGGGATCAAATGTTGTGTTCAAGAAAATACAGCAGATAAAACTCAAACCCAGCAGATCTGAAAAGGCCTCTGTGGAGAAGTTATCAGGTCTCTGGGTTAATCATCATCATCATCATCATCATCATCATTTTAAAAGCTTGGACAAGTCTTCTGCTTCAGATTAATCCAACAGTTCCTGGTATCAAAGTTCAGATACTGATCTGGTGAAGGGACCAGCGGGGCGTTACATAACAGAGGAGGAAGCACCGTTTCCTCCTCAGAGTTGCAGCGATGTGACAAAGTGAAGTGAAAGTCAAGGTGTTTCCCTCAAAGCCCGACAGACGTGATGAGAATTAGACTCAGAGTTTATGACAGCGTGACAGAGATGAGAGGGTCTTGATGCAAGGACGCGCGGTGTGGCAATGAAGGGAGAGCGATGAGGAAAAAATGGCTGAAGTAGAAGAAAGCTGGGCGTGCAGTACTAACCTTGAGGCAAGACTGGGTAAGGCAGCAGACAACGTTGCATCGTAAAGATAAAAGAGAGACGGAGAGAAGCAGAGGGAGAGGTGAGCACTAGGTTAGCCAGCTTGATCAATCTTCAAAGAACAGGAAAGAGATGAGAGACAGAGGAGCTGACAGAGAAGCACCATTAACTGTAGAGAGACAGCTGACTGACATTTAACAGGCAGACAGGCATGACCAGGCAGACAGGCAGGCACACAGACAGGCATTTCTTACATTCACCGAAGGCTAATGAGCCCCAAATAATCCCTAAAATAATTTAAAGCTCATGAAACACGAACAAAGAGTAATTAGTCGATGTGAGCATGGGCGGGTGAAGGTTCATTATGACATTTATTAATGGGTAGCTTTTACTGATTGTTTGTTATCCCTTTAGAAAGGGATACACGATATATCGGTATCGGCCGATATTAGCAACTTTTTAACATATGATGTGTTGTTTACGCGAGTGATGGTAATCATCTCAGAAACGTACATGTATGTGGTATGTGTGTATAATTGAAAAACAAATTTAAACACACACACACACACGCACACACACACACACACACATATTGGTATGGCCAAATATTGGTCATCAGCCATAAGAGCAATATTAATGTCAGATATCGATACTGACCCACATCAGAGCATCTTTGATTAAAACTAAAAAGTTATTTTCTATTTTCTCGTTTCCCACACGGTCTCTCGTGTTTAAACTGGCAGAGCCCACAATCTTCAGAAAGCTGCCAGAGACAAATTGACCATTTCTGAACAATAAAGCAATAAATGTAACCGACCCTCATTACTATAGTTTATAGTCTAAACCTCTCCAAACTCACTTTTCCTTTTCACTCCTTTCTAACGAGTCTTGGGTTGTTTTATTCTCCCCATCCTTCTCAAGTCTCCACCCTTTATTTAACGTCTTTCCTAATGCTTTTCCTCCTCCACCACCTTTCCCTCCTTGTGTTTTCCACTCTTCCATCCAAATCCTTTATTTTGGCCATCAGGGCAGATTTTCAGCTCCATTTCCCCTCAGTGTGAAGTCACTTAGTCTGCTCCAATTACCATCCTACTTCCTGAAATAAATAATCTGGTTCCACTACAGCTGGATTTACATGAGAGGAGGGAAGAGAAGCTTGATTTCTGCCGCTTTATGAAACTGAAATGTGAAGTTTTTTATTAGTAAAGTCCCCGATCCTCATCCAGAGTTAGCCTCAGCTTGGACGGGTTCTGGAATAAAACTTTAAAACATTTAAAATGACTCAAGAGTTATTTAATCTGCACTTTCTCACTTGAAAGGGGTAAAAAAAATCTCCGAGAGTCGTTTCAGCTGGATTCTACTCAACAACCAAACCGTTTCTTCCCCTTTTCAAACATTTATTCCTCGGGAATAGAAATAAATTAGTGCTTTTTAAATTTAAAGTGAGAACATTATAAAAATGTGATTAAACGGTCTGATACTGAGGTTGGGGATCTACAAACTCCTATAAACAACAACAGGTTCTGGAGGGCTAACCAATGGGCCATTCGCATCTATACCGGGTCGGCCCGGGCCGGGTAGCATAGGTTGTTTACATATATGGGTGGCCTGGTATTTTTCCGGGCCAACCAAGGCTCATTCTCAGCCCTCTTCTCGAGGGGGTCTGCTTCAGGCCGACCAGGGCCAACACACCCACTGCTGACAGCAAATCCACACCTTCCATTAGAGCAAGCCTCTGATTGGTGGGTAGAATCAGCCCACATGGGCTTAAGGCAAGGATGTGTGGAATCAACCGGGCCAGGCTGGGGCCGACTGGGGCTACCCGGCCCGGGCCGACCCGGTACAGATGGGAATGGCCCACTAAAGTTACTCCGTGGTGAGTGATGGTTTATTTAGTTTGACCAGATGGAGACAGACAGAGAAAATAATTTCTTTAAAATCACAGACAGCCACAAATATTAGCAAACAGCTGAACACATCAACAGACGGAGAAAAAAAACCATTTTGTGAACGAATACAAGCCAAAAGAAAGAAACTACGGTTTAAAATTAGCAGACGAGAAGAAAACAAGTAGAATGTGATATTTCAGACAAAAAGAGGCATGCAGAAAAGAGGCAAGATGGCCACAGACAGCGTCAGGCCCAGTGGCACTTAACCATGAAGCAGAAGACGTGTGGAGTTGTGAAGGCGTGCAGGCAGACAGAGACAACAGATAAAACCCCACAACTAGCCAGAAAACTCTGGAGGACAACGTGAGTAAGACGAGTCAGAAAAGGACAGGAAGGTAGAAAAGTGGTTAAAAACAGCAATTTTGTTATTATAAAAGAAAGATTAGTGAACAATCCAGAGTCCTGATGTAAGAGGGAAAAAAAACAGAGTGTTAAACTCTACATGTCAAACTTCTGCAGCTGAAAGTAAAACAAACACAAAGCGAGAAAACAGAACCGCCAAATGAAAGAGTTGCATCACTGACAGGAGCAGAGAGTCAAAAGTCTCTCGGGCTGAGCTGCAGCCGCGGCGCCAAGCTGCGCCTCGCTTTACAAACTTTTAGGAGCCGCGTGGCTCGTCAGGAACAGACGAGTGAAACTTCTGCTCATGCTCAGCGCAGGAATCCAACATTCTGGAGCTGTCTGAGCTTCGGGTGTGCGATGAGCCAACGCTACAACTCTTTGACGGTGATTATTAGTGAGCAAAATGAGCCGTGCTCCATGTGGAAAAGGCTGCAGAACAAGTGTTTTTTTTGGGGGGGATTTGTCACAATCCATGATAAATTACAAACAGCCTGAATATTGTTTAATTGTGACCGAATAGGTGGAGGATGATGTCAAACAATGATCTCCCTTTTCCACATGGGCCCATCATAAAAGTGCTCTGACATCCTTTTCTCCAACAGGCAGAGTGAGTTTGGTCATGCAGTGGTCAGGTAGCTAACGTAGGGCCACTCACGTGCCCAAGTAGTCCCACACCAGCCCCCCCATTGGTTGCTGAGAGGCAACAGGGGGAGGGGCCTGATTTCGTGACTGCTGCGGACGCCACAAATGGGAGGCGGAAGGGTTTCTGAGGTGTGATGAGTGCACACACACACACACACACACACACACACACACACACACACACACACACACACACACACACACACACACACACACACACACGGACACACACACACACACGGACACAAGCCAGCATAAATGCACTCAGACAGATTCACAGGCCGCATTAGATGTTTGAAGAAGTTATGGCGGCAAAAGGGGGAAAAAAACGAGGTATGGATGGAGAAAAGGGGGAAAAGGAAGGAACAAGTAAGAAATAACGGAGTTTGTTTTAAGTGAACGAGTCACAAAAATAATCAAAATAAACATAAAACCTTGTTTTCATACTTTTGGGTTAAACTGGGGGGGGGGGGGGGGGGGTCACAAGTTTATTGTGTTTTTCAAACTAATCTAACTCTCCTCTCTCACCTTTCCAGCTCATGGATCTTTTTCTCCTTGTCGTTCTTCTCATTCTCCATCTGCCGGAGGATCTCCAGGAGTCGCTCTACCTCCGACTGGGCCTTCCCAGCATCCTCTCTGTGTTGGGCCACTTCCTGCTCTAGGCAGGAGATGCGCTCGCAGAGTTCGGTGTTGGCCTGGGACACTGTTGCTGCACTCTGAGCCTGGAGCGGAAATAAGGATTCAAAAATAAACATGGCATTAGATTTCAGAACGAGGTGACCACAATTGGATCAAATACAAGTTCTGACCTGAAAGAGTTGGATGGATTTTAACAAGCTGGATTTGGACGCCTCAACAAACCAAACTGGGTCGACGCTTGGCCTTTAGTGAATCAAACGAATTTGCTCTGGTGTTTAAAATAAACTTTAAAGTAATGTTTTGTCTTGCAGTCATCCATTCTTATTTTAATAGCCAAAAGTAAGTTTACTAATAAATTAAAAAGCATCTACTGTTAGTTCACAGATCCATTTGTGTTCCGGAAAGTTTCAGAGACAGTTGTGTTTGTGGCCACGTGTTTCATTTTGAGTTTAGCTCCTTAGCATATTAGCATCGGTTGGTTAACACCTAAACATCGAGCAATACGGCTGAGGAAAAGTAAATGTTTTTGCAGATATGTGGTCAAAACATTTTAGCATAATCCAGTTCTTAGCCCTGCTTTAGGTGGAGCGTTGCAGTGCTGGGCAAACGGCCATCATGCAAGATGTTATTTAATGCACACAAGACAAGTGCTGCATTCAAAATTTCTATATAAATAAAAACGTATAATAAATCAAATTAAACATGTGATATGAGTGTTTGTTCAACTGGGAGAATACACAGAAGAGTGGATGTTTTTGTTCTGGTCAATATTTTTCACATTGGCCAGTGTAAACAGACTAACAGCTGTGATAGAACACTTTAATATTTATAGTTTATTGATGATTAACGTGTTTCTTGCACTGAACACTGTGGAAAAGCCAGCAGCCATCATGAGCATACTGAGGTGGCATGCTGTGATCCTGAATCCTAATACGGCTTGCAGACTTTTTAAAGAAATCTATAACATATCAATGTAAGATTTCAGGTGAGGATGTGTCTACCAAGATGAACAAGTCTTGAACCAAAACCCATTTACTTCCACACCATGGGTCCCCAGAAGGATTAAGAATTGAATGCAATTTCAATGTGGCTATAAAAGCTATTTCTAGTCCCATTTCTTATGTGCCATGCATTTCACATATTAGGTCTGTGAATTTTAAAGAAACATTCTGACGCTAAGAACTTATTTTCGAACAGGGGCAAAAGTTATTTTATGTTTTGTGTGAAAATACGTTCAGGACTACAAATGCGCATCACCATTGAACCAGACATGGAGAAGAGCAGGGGAAAGATGGTTGTAAGTTTAGCAATTTAGCAACCATCAATTCTGATATGTTTGTTTGTTTTATGGCTTTTAAAATAGTAATAAAAAGTGCAAAATGGTTGTAACTCTGCTCCTTTTTTCAGAACAACCTCAGCTTTCAGTGTCTGGTTTGTATTTAGTGTTTACGTTTATTAAAGTATGTAAAAACTGCTGCTTAAATGAAAAGAAAAACGGATTAGAATTTTCTTTACATGTATTACTGAACAGGAACTTCAAAATGACTTGAGCAAACTATGTCAAATGAACAATTTAAACTCAGAACTGTGTTGCAAACACTCAGAAAACAGTGTGACCCCTGGCCTCATGTTTACGAGTTTTACTGCAGACCCGTCTGTGACCACAGGTAGGTCTATGCTCTGGTCCAGAGAACGGGATACAGCAAATTAAATATGAGGTAACATAAAAAAATATTCACACATCACAACTGTAGCTACATTTCTACCAGTATTATAAAGATCAATAAGCAGATAAAAGGTGAGATCTAAACATTTCATGACAAAAGTCAACTAATAAAATTCTGCACTGATATAAAATTATATTTTCAGCTAAGGTATGTTCCTCCTCCTTGAACCGTCACCTTATCGTGGTGGAGGAGTTTGAGTGCCCTAATGATCCTACGAGCTATGTTGTCTGGGGCACTTTGTGCCCCTGGTAGGGTCTTCAATGACAAATTGGTCTTAGGTGAAGGGTGAGACAAAGAACGGTTCACAGGATCTTTCATGGAGGTAAAGTCAAAGAGTCTGAGTACCCGGCCCGGAGGGTTACCGGGGTCCCAACCTGGAGCCAGGCCTGGGGTTGGGGCCCGTGAGCGAGCGCCTGGTGGCCGGGCTTTCGCCCAAGGGGCCCGTCCGGGCCCAGCCCGAACCGATACATGGGCTCATCCAACTGTGGACCCACCACCCGCAGGAGGAACATGAAGGGTCCGGTGCAATGTGGATCGGGTGGCAGACCAAGACGGGAGCCTTGGCGGTCCGATCCCCAGATAAGAAAACTGGTTTTTGGGACATTGAACGTCACCTCGCTGGCGGGGAAGGAGCAGGAGCTAGTGGCAGAGGTTGAGCGGTACCGGCTAGATATAGTCGGACTCACCTCGACACATAGCATTGGCTCTGGAACCCAAGTCCTTGAGAGGGATTGGACATTCTCCTTCGTTGGAGTTGCTCCGGGTGAGAGGCGGAGGGCTGGGGTTGGGCTTTTTGTTAGCCCCAAGACTCTCTGCCTGTGTGTTGGGGTTTACCCCGGGGGACGAGAGGGTAGCTTCCCTGCGCCTTCGGGTCGGGGAACAGGTCCTGACTGTTGTTTGTGCTTATGGGCCAAATATCAGTTCAGAGTACCCACCCTTTTTGGAGTCCCTGGGACGAGTGCTAGATAGTGCTCCATCAGGGGACTCCATTGTCCTGCTGGGGGACTTCAATGCTCACGTGGGCAATGACAGCTTGACCTGGAGGGGTGTGATTGGGAGGAACGGCCCGCCTGATCTGAAATCGAGTGGTGTTTCGTTATTGGATTCCTGTGCAAGCCGCTGTTTGGCCATAACGAACACCATGTTCGAACATAAGGATGACCATCGGTACACTTGGTACCAGGGCAGCCTAGGTCGCAGGTCGATGATAAGACTTTGTAGTCGTATCATCTGACCTGCGGGCATATGTTTTGGACACCCGAGTGAAGAGAGGAGCGGAGCTGTCAACTGATCACCACCTGGTGGTGAGTTGGATCAGATGGCAGGGGAAGATGCCGCGTAGACCTGGCAGACCCAAACGCATAGTGAGGGTCTGCTGGGAACGCCTGGCAGAAGAACCTATTAAGACGGTCTTCAACTCCCACCTCCGGCAGAGCGTTGACCGCGTACCGAGAGCAGTGGGGGACATTGACTCCGAGTGGGCTTTGTTCCACTCTGCTATTGTTGAGGCGGCTGTTGCTAGCTGTGGTCGCAAGGTGGCCGGTGCCAGTCGTGGTGGCAACCCCCGTACCCGCTGGTGGACACCAGAGGTTCGGGGAGCCGTCAGGCTGAAGAAGGAGGCCTACAGGGCGTGGCTGGTCTGTGGGTCTCCGGAGGCAGCAGACAGGTACCGGATAGCCAAGCGGGGTGCAGCAGTGGCAGTTACCGAGGCAAAATCTCGGGCGTGGGAGGAGTTTGGTGAGGCCATGGAGAAAGACTATCGATCGGCTCCAAAGAGGTTCTGGCAAACTGTCCGGCGACTCAGGAGAGGAAGGCAGCAACTCGCTCACACTGTTTACAGTGGGGATGGTGAGCTGCTGACGTCAACTTAGGCTATAGTCGGACGGTGGAAGGAATACTTTGAGGAGCTCCTCAATCCCACCTACGCAAATTCTGAGGAGGAACCAGAGCCGTGAGACCTGGGAATGGACTGTCCAATCTTGGGGGCAGAAGTTGCTGAGGTAGTCAAACAACTACACAGCGGCGGAGCCCCGGGGGCAGATGAGGTTCGTCCTGGGTATCTCAAGGCTATGAATGTAGTAGGGCTGTCATGGTTGAAACGTCTCTGCAACACTGCGTGGCCATCGGGGGCAGTTCCTGTGGAGTGGCAGACCGGGGTGGTGGTCCCCATCTTTAAGAAGGGTGACCTGAGGGTGTGTTCCAACTATAGGGGGATCACACTCCTCAGCCTCCCTGGAAAGGTCTACTCCAAGGTACTGGAGAGAGGGGTCCGATCGATAGTTGAATCTCAGATTGAGGAGGAGCAATGTGGTTTTCGTCCTGGCCGTGGAACTGTGGACCAGCTCTATACCCTTGCAAGGATGATGGAGGGGGCATGGGAGTTTGCCCAACCAATCCACATGTGTTTTGTGGATTTGGAGAAGGCTTATGACCGTGTCCCCAGGGACACCCTGTGGGGGACGCTCCAGGAGAATGGGGTGGGTGGCTTTCTGCTAAGGGCCATTCAGTCCCTTTACCAGAGGAGCGTGAGTTTGGTCCGCATAGCCGGTAGTAAGTCGGACCTGTTCCCGGTGAGGGTTGGACTCCGCCAGGGCTGCCCTTTGTCACCGGTTCTGTTTATTACCTTTATGGACAGAATGTCTAGGCGCAGCCGTGGTGTGGAGTGTGTCGAGTTTGGTAGCAGGAGAATCTCGTCTCTGCTTTTTGCGGATGATGTGGTCCTCCTAGCTTCATCCAGCTCTGACCTTCAGCTCTTGCTGGGTAGGTTCGTGGCCGAGTGTGAAGCGGCTGGGATGAGGATCAGCACCTCCAAATCTGAGACCATGGTTCTTGACCGGAAAAGGGTGGCTTGCAAACTCCAGGTCGGGGGAGAGGTCCTACCTCAAGTGGAGGAGTTTAAGTATCTTGGGGTCTTGTTCACGAGTGAGGTTAGGAGGGATCGGGAGATCGACAGGCGGATTGGTTCAGCATCTGCAGTGATGCAGACGCTGAGCCGATCTGTCGTGGTGAAGAGGGAGCTGAGCCAGAAAGCCAGGCTCTCGATTTACCGGTCGATCTACGTCCCAATCCTCACCTATGGTCATGAGCTTTGGGTAATGACCGAAAGAACGAGATCGCGGATACAAGCGGCCAAAATGAGTTTCCTCCGTAGGGTGGCCGGGCTCAGCCTTAGAGATAGGGTGAGGAGCTATGACATTCGGGAGGGACTCGGAGTATAATCGCTGCTCGTCCGGGTCGAAAGGAGCCAGTTGAGGTGGTTTGGGCACCTGGTCAGGATGCCTCCTGGACACCTCCCCGGGGAGGTGTTTCGGGCATGTCCTGCCGGCAGGAGGCCCCCGGGTCGACCCAAGACACGATGGAGAGGTTACATCTCCAATCTGGTCCGGGAACGCCTTGGGGTCCTGCCGGAGGAGCTGGTGGAGAAGGCCGGGGAGAGGACGGTCTGGAGCTCCCTAGTTGGGATGCTGCCCCCGCGACCCGGACCCGGATAAGCGGAGGAAGACGAAGACGAAGACAATTTTCAGCTAAATAAATATTTAATGTAAATATAAATTATGCTGGAATGAAGCTGAATCTTACATTTAGTAAATAGTTGAGTGTTCAAATAAAAACAAGTTTGACTGTAATCTGTCCCTCCTCATGTCTCCATCTACAGAAACAGCCTTCTGGGTCACCTGACCAACCAGTTGGATTTTCTGTGTGACGTTTCCATTACTTTATAAAAGCTGCTGATACAGAAGATCAAATTATCTCCTCCATGTGGTTCTCCGCTCTCCCGTCGCGGTTCGCTCCATTTCTTTTTGTGATGCTGAAAAGCTGGCTTCCCTCTAATAGCGATTTTTTTGAGTAACATTAATTACATCATGTAATACCTCATTGGAAAGCTCTTGTTATGTAGAAAAAGTTTGAATTATTTTTATTCTATCGGCAATTCAGAAGTTATGACGTGGAGAATCTAGAATGAGAAATATCAACATCTGTGATTCTTTGTTGTGTGAGTTTCTTCAACACTTCAGGAGAAATCTCTCATAACCCATTTTCTGTCTCAGACATGCAGCTACCTGACTCTGCCCCCCCCCCCCCCCCCACACACACACACACACACACACGCACACCAACCACAGACTCAAATGTAAACAAAAGCTCTGATATTCAAATCCATCCAGCTGACGTGAAGCAGGCAGGATAAAAAACTCACATGTAGATGAACGCAGACTCCTGCCCACAGGCAAAACACTGGTCTGTCGTTTCCATGGCTGCAAGTTAGAGCGACAGCAGGGACAACCAATCACATATTAACATATCGCGGCAGAGCCAATCAGCGAGCTTGTGGATGGGTCTAAGGGAAAATAGGCTTCAGCTTGACGAGGCTGCCTCCGCATGGTCCTAGTGCCTGGCCTGTATCTCACTAAAACAGTTTTGGATGGTGAAATCTGACGAAAGACCGGCTAAAGGGCACTTTGAGCACTTTGGACAAAAGGGGCAGGTGCTCAAGGACAAAAGGGGAAGGTGCTTCTTAAAAACTGCAGAAAAAGTAGATCGATTTTGCTCCAAAATTATGTTCAGCCACAATTTTGCCATTGTAGTTTATACTTCAACCCCACCTGAGAAAAGTGGAGCTTAATGTTGACTCAACTGTTAAAGCCGTTATAGTGAATCCACAGAACAAGCTAGGTTTTGAATGCAAACACGGCCACAGAACACTCACCCCTCACCTCAGGTATATTCCCTAGGTCTGTGTCAACCAGAACCAGAAAACCACATTGCCAGAGGAAACGAGATTGTGCCAGTTGCGGGGTTTTCTAGGTCCAAACATCTTTTGCTGTCCGTGACTTCAAATGTTTTTTCTTTTTGGGACTCTGGTAGTTCGTCCTAAAGTTGAAGTGGTAGCAGCTGGCTGTTTCTCCTCTGATATTATTGAGTGGAGACCAATAATCGTGGTGTTTTGTTGCTAAATATATGAGTGCGTAAGGAGTGGAGGATCCAGAAAAGTGCATCGGTTCGGCGAGACTGACAACTGAATAGTCCAGCAATTGCCTTTGGTCTTAAATGTGTTATTGGCAGAGGTTTTCATACAACAGCAGGTGTCACTACTTCTTTCAGTAGTGACACCTGGCGCTTGGGAGTGGGCCTGCAGTAAATGTACTGTAGACTAACTTTAACACGTATATTAACTGCAATTTTTAATGAACATGTAATTAATCTCATGCTATAAAACCCTGAGAATCAGCTGCTGTCAGGCATTTTTAGTTTGACTCATTTCGAGAGTCAGGTTCACACATAGACAAAAACACAAACTTTTGGTGTGTGGTTATGTTACAACTTTTAAAATATTTGTGTATTTGAAAGGAAAACTAACACAAGTGTCAGAATTTCTTGTCCTGCTTTGCCCAGGCACACTGGATAAATAAAAATGTGTAAAAGAAAGAAATGTAATAAAACAAACAAAAGAAAAACCAGGTTATAACTAGCGTAGAGGTTATAACAGCTGTGGACATTTCCCAGAAACGAATGTTGCTCTTGGGACAGATTGACAGTATGAGTGTGTGTGTGTGTCCCACAACACATAAACCCTATTAGTTTTGGAAGCGGACAGCAAATTTAACACGTCTTCATGTGGAGAGGAAATGTTTGGATGTCTGACGATATAAGATTTGAGTGAAAGAGAGGGAGAGGAAGAGGGAGAGGGAGAGAGAGAGAGAGAGAGAGAGAGAGAGAGAGCGAGAGAGAGAGAGAGAGAGAAAAACGGAGAGAGACAGAGAGAGAGAGAGAGAGAGAGAGAGAGAGAGAGAGAGAGAGAACAATGGCACCCCCCCCCCCCCCCCCCCCACTGTGGGGTAACAGAAAGAGACTAAGAAATAAAATCTGATGAGAGAAACACCCAAGATGCAATGACACCTTCATACATATTCCCTTTTTCACTGTATTTGTCACATATTCTCACACACATACGGGTGAACACACACACACCAACACGGACATACACACTCAGGGTGTGATGGTGCTGCTGTCTGTGAAAATGACTGTAAGGCTGTCAGCAAGCTGTCTTACACACACGCACACACACACACACACACACACACACACACACACACACACACACACACACACACACACACAAGTATCTATCTCCATCCCTTGGAAACAACTTGGAAGAGGATTTAAAACAAAATGAAACAATTAAATTAGAAATGATCTCATCCAATACAATGTGATTTCACTACAGTACTATTTAATACATTATGACAGGATGAAATGTAATATAACATGACACAATGTGATTGAGACTGATGTGAACTTGTGCTTCATTGTCCCCTTTGGAGAACTTGTTTTGGAGTTCCATAAAGAAATGAGAACGTACTAAGTTCTTGGCCTTACGCCGTGAAATTTGATCTCCTTTCAGATTCGTCAATAATAAGATTTGATGACTTTGGTAAAGTTTTCTCACATATTCTCTGTAGAAGCATAACTTTTCCACGTTTCTGTGACTTGATGAACAATTCGTCACCAACAAGTTTCGGACTAACCTTCTTGAGTTGGTTCTCCAGTTTGAGACACTGCTCCCTCTTCTGCTCGAGGTTTATTTCTAAACTTTTAAGCCTGTTTTCCTTCTTCAGAGTCGAGGATGCCAGAGAGGAAGCCTTCTCTTTCAGATCCAACACAGAAGTCTGGAAAAAAGTGTAATAAAGAATTTAGCAGATCAGACTTGGTCTAATTTTACCTTTATGCTCTTTATTTGGTATCTTGAGAGGATTTAAATCAGTAGGTTGTATTTGCAGGTTCCTCTCAGGGCAGGGATGGACCACAAACGAAAGAAACCCACTACAAAGAACACTTTGCTAAAAGGACGAGTCCTTAACGGAGGCCTAATCCCTAAAATCGTTTTCCATGCATCTAAGTTCTCATACTGTTTAGCATGAATTTATAAACGAGTTGAAAAATCAGGCAAAATGGTTTATAACAGGAAGTCTCAGGCTTGTGAGAATGCAATGATGAGTTACAGAGCGTGTAGTTTTATTTCACGCTTGAAGAGCACCAGCACCTGAAAACAAGATCCAGGTTGGAACGTTCTGAGTAATTTGCATGTTTGGTCTGCTCTTGCCTGGATTTTTCAGCGGCTGCTCAGGTTTCCTCTCACAGGCCTCGGTTATGCATGCAAGGCTGATTAGCCTTTCCAAATTGGCTGAGCGTGCACGTCTGTCTGTCACCGTGACGTGCTCTGGAACTATTATCTGGCCCCTTGTCGCCCAAAATCAGGTGGGATAACATGGAATTATCCCTCTTCCACAGTTGTACGATCGACTCTTGTCCCTTGTTGGTCGTAAGATTTCCCATGACCCGTCTCTTTCTCACTCTTAGACCCAATCCCCCCATCCGTGAAATCTCTCTCTCCCTTTCTTTTCTTGTTTTTGGTAGAGGCAGTGAAACGGAAACCAACAGGACCAGAAGGAGAGATGCTCAGACGTGTAATTTTACCCTTCACTGACCTTACCAACTTCAGCCTGCAGATCCTGGTGTGTGACTGGTATTTGGTCAGAGAAACCTTGCTGCTTACTCAGAGTATATTTAGGTCTGCATATACATTGGCGTTGTCGGACAAACCTCACATCTGCATCTAGCGGTGAAGAGAGGAATGTTTGTTTTCTTAAAGTTTTTCCGTTTATTTTTCAATACACTGTGACGGGTTTTAAGGTCCCACAATCGCTAAAATTAGCTAAAGAGTTCAGCTTGAAATGGCAAATTATGACTGAACCAAATTTAAAATGACAGTAAATCAGAAAACTCAGAATGTAATCTAACTGCATCCACCATTTACACAACATTTAAATATTTGTGGCACTCATTAATTACACCTAAACTAGGACTGGTTTTGTCTTTCATGTTGCAGATATACAATAACACTTTTATTCTACTCTTGGTTTGTTGCAACTAACTGTTGTTTTACCATTTTCCTTCTAATTTGACACTTAGATGCGTTTTCACCCCATTTTCAACGTGCAGCAAGAAGCATGCAATAATAACTTTTTCCTGTAGCGTAGATGTTAATAAAGAATTTTAGGCCTGCATTTGTCATTTTAACACCTTAATCTAACAGCTGAAATGTCTCCTCAGCCTTCATTAGTGTCTACAGGAGCAACGCATCACTAAATCAAACAAATCAGCTGTGTTCACGATCTACAACATGCAGGAAACGTGCGGGATGCATATCCCAGTGCCAAGCATGTCAGCTCCACTTTATTAAAGAGAAAGTCACCCCCAAATCAACTTTTTTTTCTGATAAACTATATAAATGCGTGTCTAATCATGTTGCAGACACGTGTAGTCATTAGTTTTGCACTATAGTGCATTTTAGTTAAAATTTAAATTTTCTGCCTAAAACTGTCAGTGTTGAGCCGTTGTCAGGTAAAATTTCTGCACTGCATTTGAATTTAAATCTGCCATCGCTATTGGCTAAGAGGTACCCTAGAATGTTAGCTGGTACCATATGATGTCACAATGTCGTTGTGAGCCTGTGTGTTTGTGTGTGTGTGTGTGTGTGTGTGTGTATTTGTTAGCGGCTCCGCCCTCTCGGTCTGCTAGGCGACAGCAATTGTTGCATTTTTCAAATAGGAAGTGGGAGTGGAGTAATTCTCTGGTAGGGGGTGACTTGCTCTTTAGGTCTAGCTGGCACTCTTCAGTTGCAAGCGCAGCATTCTGGCCACAGCAGACAGTGGATTCTGAGTGACATTTTATTAACCCTGTAAAAGGTCATTTTAGCACATATTGACTCAAAAAAATGTATTTAAAAACATGAAAAGCTGCACAGTATGTCTTTAAATATTTGCTTAGTTAATCTTAATGTTTTTATCTGAAATCAGAGCCTTCTGTGATGTTTTCTACAGCAGAAATTCAGCTCCCATCACTATTTATTTTATTTGCTCATGTGAAAGGACACTGGGTGGCTTTCAGGTTTGTTCTAGAGCAACAGATCAAATGTTTCCTCAACAACCGCATGCTTCTTCCTGCATTTCTGACAAAAAACAGGTGTGTTAAGTCATTTCTGTGTGTGTACTCTACCTCTCGGTCAGCCAGCTCAGCCTGCAGCTGAGACACCTTTTCTTTTAAGTCTTTGAGCTCCTTCTTAGTAGTCTCCACCTCATCCGTTTTTTCTCTGTCCTCCTTTTCTCGCTGCTCCTTCAGCCGCTCGATAATTCGCTCCTGAGAGCAAGAAAAGTAGGAAGAGGTAAAAGTTACAAAATGTCAGAAACATTAAAAACGGGGAGAGTACGAGCAGGGTGTGATGGAAAAAGAGAAACAGAGAATAAAATACTTCATCCTCTCCAGCAGCCATTCGCAGCCACTTAATATCAAGTTTCTGTACTAATAAGTGTCACATTAAACTTTACGTACATGGCAGCTTGGACAGGAACTAACAGCCAGCGGCGATTTTATGCACGCAATGTGTTTTGGCACCAGATGTGAAATTCACAACCACTAAAAACAAAAGACGATTTCTACAGCTACAAAACAACACTATTAAAGTAAAAGTACAAAAGTTCGGGCATGCACAAGGAGGGCACAGATCCAGAGAGTGTGCACCAGCAGAACCAGGGCTGTTGGTCAAAAGCTGCATTTGTGCAAAAATGATTAAACAAACATACACATACAGGACACTTTTAGTTATGCATATGGTAATATGGTCAGAATTAAACAATGCTTTTATATAATCACTTGTTCATTAGCTAATAATAATTTAAATTATAATTTAATAATAGTGTTGCTTTAGAAATGCAAAGCATTTTTTTACCAGATGCACAAATAAAAGCTGCAAAAACAATTAAATATGATTTATGTTGGTGGGAAAAACAAATAACAACAGAGCGATGAGTTTCAGGCAAAGAGAAAAGTACAAATTAAATAAAGATGGAGGCAGCAAAAGAATCTAAATAAGAAAGAAAGCCTGTTCAGCGAGAGCTGTGGGTGTATCCTCTGCCAACAATCACACATCTTGCCAACACTCAGAATATTAGTCACTAGTCCATTAATAACCCACTTCCTGCAAGTCCATATAAGAGGTTGAATATGTAACAATATTTTACAGAAAAATACCCACGAATGTGTGACCGAACCTCAGTCCTTACAAAACTCATAAAAAGTGGTTCAGGCCCGTTCGAAACCTCCGAGTTCAGACCTGAACACTCATCAATGAGTTACTTTGAGCCGTGAGGCCGCATGTCGGTCAGTCTGTCATGTTTTATAAAAACAGGCTGTGAATAACTAATTATAAAAAGAACAAGTGTGATTTCCATTTATCCAGAGTCAACACATGGGTGGTCGGCGGGTTTGCTCATAAAGGTTTTATTAATGTGACCTTGACCTGACCAGGAGGTTGACCAGCGGCGAGTGAATCACTGTGTGTACCTTCTCAGCCAGAGCTTCCTCCAGCGTTCCCAGAGCGGTGTCTGTGTTTGACGTGTCCGTCTGCAAAGACTTCACTCTGTCTTTCAGGCCGCTCAGCTGTTTGTCTTTATCCCTCAGCTGGTCCTGGAGGTTCTCTATCTGCAGCCAGAAACACTCATCAGATGTGCTGGTTGTGGTTCACCTGCTGACCACTGAGAATGACATTTTGTTGGCGGAGCCGTGAGCCCCCAGAGTCTCCAAAGCAAAGGAACAGTTGTTTCTTCAGTTAAAACTGAGCATCAATGAACAGCATACATTCACAAAACAGCTAAAAATTAGAGTAACTGTACAAAGAATATTTTGCTAAAAAATATCCCAATAACATGATAGAAGTGCATAAAAAAGGCCTACACAATGACTTTTAAATTGTCAAACTAAATGTTATTAAGAAAAAACACAGTTTTGAAATTCAGAAAACAGTAAATAAGAATTAGCCCAGCTAGCTAGTTTATAGCGAAGCTACTTGTTTATAAGCTAAGTTTGAAAATATAAACTTTTTGTGGTGTAACTGTTTGCAAAAGAGTCATGTGCTCATAAATAAATACAAATTTTAAAATAGTATAATATTTGAACAGTTAGCTTAGCTTGTAAGCCTGTTTATGTTTAAACTAGTGCTTTACCAGCAATGATGCAAGGTAGCTTATAAGCTTTATGCTAATTAGCCACAATCACAAATTGGACTGAAATTTAAAATGAATGAGAAAACATTAAAATATGCAAAATTATATAAATAAAATATTTTGCCTGCTTTTCGTATTAATGGATTCATATAAAAAAATGTTTGGCCCTTTTCACATTTTTTACAGAATTAGGTCTAAACAAGCTAAATTAGTTACCTTAAAGGTTTATTATAATAATTTTCACATTTTCCTCACAGTTTTGTTTGTACACGCTCCTCTGGTTTCAAATCAAACACAAACATGTCCAATATCTAGAATAGACGACGCCCGATTTGATCTGAGCTTCTCGACACACAATGATGACTGAGAGGTAAAATTCCTCCGCTTTTAACCACTAAAGGTATAGCAATCGATGTTTTTCTTCCGGGTGGATCACATCAACCACTGATCCGCAAAAATGTCAATTTCTGGTAAGTCAATCCTGGGTTAGTTTTCACTTCCTGCGCATGCGTACTTTGTGCACCCCCACACCCTCATGGAAATCAGGAAGATGCTAACGCGGTCCAGTCCGCTTCCCACAGACGCCGCTGTTGCCAGTTTTCTGCTCGAGAGGCAAGCTAGCGTTCTGTAAGCTATTTTTAGAGCCTCTTATTACGCATTACGGCCGGCAGCTACTTGTAAACAGGCGCTGGGAGAGTGTTGCGCAACGTGGAGAGGTCGGTTCTTTCCTGAAATTCAGAAACATCGATTGCTATACCTTTAATCTAAATATACACGCTCTACCCCCACCTCCTTCTTGTGTCATCTCACCATGACTTCTCACAAAGATTTAGTAGCACATTTATTTTCTGTTAAAACACCAGATCAGCAGACAAACTTCAGGTACACATATGTGGACATATTTTCTAAATGTCAGACCACTAAAGGCTTTTTGAGGGCTTTGTTTTTTAGCTGTAAGGTTACAGTGAGGTTAATGAAGAGGTGAGAGGCTTGACAATGAAACAATGTTAAAATGAATAAACAGTAAGGAGAAGGAAAACAAAGAGGTCGTAACAACATTTTTATATAAGAAACCCAAGATGGTAAATACCGTAAATCCTCTAATATTGGCCTGTATTCAATTAACGGCCGGGTATCGCATTTTGGCCAGTGTCGGAGTCGGCGGAGGTGAATAATGGCCGTTTTTTTTTATTGTGGCCAGGTGCAATGTGGTAACAAGCAAGTACGGAGGGCGGTTGTGTCATCCGTCTCACTTTTGATTTGCCAGTGATAGACCGCGAGGGTAACTTTAACCATGCAGAGACGAAGAGGAGGCGAAAATTTGATATCAAGTTCAAAGAGAACGTGCTGATTATGCTGCAGAACACTGGGAAGCAGTAGCAGGGGCTGTATGAACTAGTCGACTTCACCGCTCTATAGTGACTTTTTACGCCTGTCATCGACTAGTCGCTGTCACGTGATAATGACCGGCAAGATGCAGTCCTTGGAAAAGACAGCAGCCTGCTGTCAGCAGGTGACAAGCTCCTGGGCGTCGGGAGGCAACGCGCTGTGCCAGAGTGTCGGTACTGACACCCGCCGTAAAACGGACATTTAACCAAATTGTGACGTTTACCCTCTTGCAATTTAACCTTCCCCTCACCCCCATCCTAACCTTAACCAGCTTGTGCATGCAAAGCTCTGATTGTTGATGCGCTCCAGAAATCTGTGTCCTGAGCACGGCCACAGTAACATTATCAAATCAGGTGTCGCCACCTCAAAAACTAATTTAACACGCGATCGTTCATGTCGGCTCATTTCCTTTTATGTTTTCTGTCTTTTATTTGTGCCTGATGCTTTTTGCTCTGTGGAGCGGGGCGCATCACCAGTTTTGTCCTCCAATAACTTCACCTAACTGATGTGGCCGGGAGCACTCCGCTGTTTTTGCGGTCGGTAGATCTTTTAGAACTGCAGTTCAAAGGTAACTCATGAGGTGAATATATATGAACCCAGGAAGCAGTTTTTCTTTAGGATTGAGAGGAGATGCAGGAAGATAATAAACAGAGACAGGACAGAAAAATAGTCAAATAAAAACAAGTTGGTTTTTGTACCTGGTGGTTGCAACAAACAGACACCATTGAAGGTCATCAGAAGTGAGGAACAGAAAATGAAATAATTATTTTAATGTTTAGAGCAGCAGGAACTCTGGGAGGCTGCAGGTGCATCAGTGAGTTTGCGGCCGCTGCGCAGGGGGAGGAGGGTGAGGGCTGAAGCAGAAACTACCGTTGTTAAAAGAAATGTGTTTAACTTTGAAAATGTGGGCGCAGTTTTAATTGTCAAAAACTCCAGCGAACCATTAGTTCATTTTGCTCAAATAAAAATTGAGGCCTGCCTCTAATTCTGGTCCTCCTTCCGATAAAGGCCTGGAGCTTGATGAGCTTGAGTCAAATACAGGCCCGGGCCTGTATTAGAGGATTTACAGTATGCAAATGTTCTGTCTTCTTCTGTTTTTGTTATTTCTTCTGTCAGAGAAAGGAAATGGAATAAGTAGTGCATGTGCACACACGTGCACACACACACACACACACACACACACACGCACACACACACACACACAGAGAGCGAGAGAGAAAGTAGCGCTGGAATGTAACCTTTTGACTCCACTGCAGGTGAAGCACACACATTTACAGTACCACAGAGATTGCCGGTGTATGTGTATGTGTGTGTGTGTGTGTGTGTGTGTGTGTGTGTGTGTGTGTGTGTGTGTGTGTGTGTGTGTGTGTGTGTGTGTGTGTGCTCATACAGGAGAACTTTTCCTGCACGTCACAACTGCCAGACTGACAGCTTGATTGACACATCCTTCTCCTCTCCCTAATGCACAAACACACGCACATGCACGCACACACACACACACACACACACACACACACACACACTCAACATTGAGAAGCAGTGAGATTGTTTGATCCTGCACACTTCCTGAAACTGACAACTGCTGGATACCTGGCATGCACACATGATTAGCACACACTCACACACATACAGGTCCCACAGTCCCTCCTTCTGTCTATTTTAACCCAAAAGAGACGAGATCAGATAAAAACCCTCAGAGCTAATGGGATACACTCTCACAGAGTTCACTGACAAGAAGGAATGGCAGATAAAAACACAAGTGGGAGGTGAAAAGAGCTGAAAGCACAAATAAAAAGAAGGAATTAGCAAAATTCAGAGGCAGAGTGAATGCAAGAAGAATCAGCAGCATCACCCCCACCCACTGTGAACTGGATTCTATTTGAAGACAGAAGATGTCATCATTTATTAAACAAGAGGAAGTCATTAGTATGCATCAGATTTAAACACACTGTGTCTCTCCTCCCCCTCCCTGTCCTGCTTTTTGTCTTTCTGTTTGATTGTCTGTATCGATTATCTGCACGTTTTGCATTTGGACATTTATTTTGGAGAGCAGAAGACGAGGACAGTCAAATATTCCCTGAGAAAAAACACAAAAATGCAAATCAACTGTTCATCACTAACAAAAATTCAGATTAGATTCAAAATACACCAGGACTTTGTGATTTATTGTCATTTTTTTGTAGAAATGAAATTTAGAACCCAACACCCTCTCCTACATTGCCACCTAGTGGACAAAGCTGTGCATTACAAAAGAAACAACATGCTGCAGAAACGGTTAGCCTTTTAATCCGGAGTCAGCGTGCACATGTGCAACAGCTTATCTATTCTAACAGATTTACCCAACACATACCTTTTTCTGTAACACGCTGACTTTGCGTTCCTTGACCTCCAGCATGTCCTTGAGATCAGAAATCTCTCCCTGCTGAGTGCTTTTCTCCTCCGTCAGCTCTGATATCTGCTGACTCTTCTTCGACAGAAGAGACTCCTTCTCCTCCAGACGGAGGCGCAAAGCATCCACCTGAGCCAGGCAAGAGCCAGTGGAAAAGAATAATCAGATAAGGAGCTATTTAATGGATGCGGGGTGCACACAGGGTTTTACCTCGGTCTGCAGTATGGCAGCTCTCTGCTCCTTGGCAGTGAGTGACTCCTTGAGCACGTCTACGTGTTGCTTACTGTCAGAAAACTGATTGTTCAGAGTTTCCAGTTTGGTCCTGAGAGCCAGCAGCTCGCTGTCTTTACGACTCAGCTCCTGCTTCGTCTGCTCCATCTGAGCAACAGAAAAACAAAATAAACAACACCTGGTTAGGGTTACTGTCTGGTGTGTGAGAAATAAAATCCACTGCAAGCTTTCAAAATGGAGATTTAGCTCTGGGATGCATGTTAGCATCAACAGCATCGCTCAGATATTAGTAAGGAAGATACTTTGTTCTGTTTTTGATTGTTTGATTAGTTTAAATGGAGAAAAAGCTCATTTTCTTGGATAATAGCATCCATAACTTCCTGGAATTTTCTCAGATTGCAGAATAAGAATGCAACCATGTAACAGAGGCTTATATGAGGAAAATAAAGTAGTTATGCTAAACAGGATCAACTCTTCAGATGATGCCGTCAAATTTCAGCATTTGTCTTAGTTTGACTGTAAATCAATCAGATATTTAAAGGTTTAAAGAGAGAAGAAAGAACTGTTTCCTTCCCATTTCTCACCTGAAAAGCAAACAGGAGATAGACATAAGTGGGAGTCTGTCACCTTTATTCTACAGGATGCATCTAAATGAATTATATTAAAGGTCAGGGTCTATTCCTCATTTAAAAAAATATATACATTTATTTTTTATGGTCATGAAAATCCAATAATTATAATTTAATTCTAATTTAAACCAGGAAACATTATTAGATGACCCTGTATTATACGCTGAATTTTTAACTCATCTGGATCAAAGAATAGACCCAAACCATCATAAGTGAACATCTATGGTTAACACCCAAGCAGCAAACAGAGCTACAGCTCTAGAACATGCAAGAAGAAAGAGCAGCAGGTTGGAAATGCAGCAAGTGCAGCTGTGAGTATCGGACTTCCCTCGGAGCGCTGAAACGTTAAAAGCCACAGATCGAGCAGGAAAAACACCCGCTGACCTCTTCATGTGAGATAACAACCAGATCACACAGAGATGTCAGAGAATCTGGACGTTTGAGTCAAGGCGCAGGCATTGTTTTAGACTAAATCAGTGTCGAGATTTGGTCGGCACACAAACGGAGCAGATTGAGGAATTCAAGCTGGAATTTTAAACAACAACATTTAATCCGTGGATCTTTGTTAGCTGCACACTTCTGTCTGGGACGCTACAGCCTGTCAACGAGAGAAGGAAGAAAAAAGGAAGAAGAAAAAAAAACAGAGGAGCATCTCTTACTGCGGACACCTCCTGCTGGAGATCATTGGCTCGTCGCCTTAGCTCCTCCTTCTCTGATTGGCTGTGAGTTAGCTCTTCTTTCAGCTGCTCAACCTGACAGGAGAGGAGGCCTTTAAAGGTGTTAGGTCTTAATGCCTCTCACCCGTTCCTCTCACCTCTTAGCTCCTCCCATCATGGAGGCAGAGAGGTGAGGAAGGGACACGTGATGATTACCCAGCATGCTCAGCATTTAGGCGGTGTAACACGCACAAAAATATACAGCCAAGAGATTCGATTCTAAACTCTTAAGAGGCTTCTTTTCAAACCCAAGTTTGTTTATGAGGCAGATTGGAGGTTTATCTTGTGCTGAATCATCATAAAATGATCCTAACGCCTAGTTTTGTTCCTCCAAACCGAGCGTGCTGAAACACAGAGCTTCACGAGGCAGGGCTGAGGTCTTAGTGTGGCGAGAACATGAGGTCACCTTGTTCTTCATGAACTTGGAGTGGGATCTGTACACCTCCATCTGCTTGATCTCCTCCTCCCTCTCTTCGCTGCTCAGAGCTCCGTTGGACTTGAGCATCATCACCTCCTCCTCCAGCTCCCTTATGCCACGCTCCATGGAGCTGATCTTTGCGTCCTGGTGGGAGGAGCATGAAAACAGCTGTGCTTCACTCTGACCCTTCATAGAACATTCAGATACTTTCAGTCTCTGACTTCATTTAATGTAAAAATAAATGTTCATCATGCAGCTAAATAACAGAGGTTTGCATCGTCCAATAAAACTGATTTTGACAATTACGTCACATATTTCAAGAAAACTAACAGCAACATGTCTACCTTCATCTCAATGACCGTCTGCAGAGCTTTGGTCTTTGTTGACTCTGGAGCTGCTTCGTATCTCCTGTGCAGCTCCTGAGAGACACACACACCACGGTGGTCAGCAGGAGACAGAGAGGAAGACACTGAGGGATGGCGAGAGGGATGGAGCAGAGGAGGACAAGGTCGGGAGGAAGGAGAAGAGGCGAAAGCAGCTGATGGATAGGGATGGCGAGAGGGCTGGATGGTTGGTGTAGGCCTTGGAGCGGGAGCAGGGAAGGAGGGAGACTGCTGGAGGGAAGGATGATGGGAAGGATGGGCTGAAGAGGTAATGACGTGGGAAGGAGAGTGGGGAAGACAGGATGAGTGAGGGATGACGGGATGAAGGGAGTGACATCTGGGTGGAGGAGAAGGAGCAGGAAAGGAAGGGGAGGAGGGGAGTGAAGGGTGGCGTGATGGAGAAAAAGTAGGAGAAGGGAGAAAAGGGGGAGACACATGGAAAGGAGCTGGGATAGGGATGGAGGGAGAAACGGGGAAGGAGGAAGAAGCAGGGAGGACATGTTTCCCTCTCGCAGAAGAGCCGAGTTTTATCCTCCTCGGGTCGATCCGGCCGTCCCACATCGTTCAGACGGAGATGAATAAAGCTGACAGATTCAGAATAATCTAGTCTGACTGCCTGGAATAAGGTGAACGTAGTAAAAGCAGCGATTAAAATAGATAAAAAGTCCAAACAGAATCAAATGATTCAACTTTTACAACAAAACCCAATTCAGGCTTTTTAACCTGCGTTAGTAAAACCAGCACACTGCCTCCAACCAAAGCAAACCCCTTCCTATCATAATCCACACTAGATCTGTAATCCACACTAGATCTGTGTCCCTAATTTCTCAAAATTCATTAAATATTCCAAAAACTCCGGTTGAACAATATGCAACAAAATGATGTTGTCCCGTAGCAGCGACCGCCTCCCTGCTCCGCCGGTTAAATGGAGTATGAGCAAACAGGACGAGGAAGATGGAGCAGTTTGGTGTTTGTGAAAGCGCCAGGAGAAAGGGTTGGAGAGGAGGAGTGCAAGGACGGGGCTGGATGGAGGTCACAGCTGTGTATGCATCACTGCTTTTCTTTGGACATTTAGAGATGGACAAAGACAGCTAATGCAAGAAATGTCAGGAAGCATAGAAACCCACATATGGGGGAGGGGGGGGGGGCATCGCTAGAGGAGAAAACACAGACTTTTTATCTGGGTATAAAAAAATATGGGAAAACTGTGAAGTCATGCATCAGTTCTTAAAAGTTGGACAGTAAACATCAGCTCTAAACCTGAAATTAAAAACAACACAGTTTAGTGACTAAATGTAGATTCTGTATGAGCCAATCACATCAGGGTGACCAAACCTAAAGACATTTATTCATTCTTGTTGTTTTGAACGTCCTTCAGTGATCGACCCACTTTATTTCAGTGAGCAGCAGAAGGACGCGTTTACAGAAATCCATTTTCCTGCTGCTGCACATTTGATTTTCACCAGAACACAAACGAGAACGACTGTAATTAAGAAACATTAGAAGAAAGTTGGTGGAACAGTCTGTAGCGCTGTCGTCTCAAAGACAGGCTGGCGGATCGAGTCATGGCTGTGGACGTTCTGTTCGGGTTTTTGTGTTCTCCGGGTCCTCCCACAAACCCACAGCATGTCTGCCAGGTTAGCTGGATACTCGGGGCTCCCCAGTCCTGGTCCTGGAGGGCTGGTGTCCACCGTGTTTTAGTCGTTTCTCTGCTTCAACACACCTGTTCAGCAGCTCATCAGGTTCTGCGGAACCCTGTTAATCACCTGCTGATCTATGGCAGGTGTGTTAAAGCAGGGAAACAACTAAAACACACTGGACACCAGCCCTCCAGGACCAGGATAGGGCACCCCTACTGTAAATTGTCCTTAGGTGTGTGTGCATGGTTGTGTGTGTCCCTGTGACAGATTGGAGACCTGTTCAGTGTGTTCCCCACTTCTCCCTGGTGACTGCTGGAGAAAAACACCAGCTCACTGTGACCATAGTAACAGTGAAGTGGTACACCCTAAAGGATGGATGGATGGACAGAAGGATGGACGAGGAGACATTACACTTTGTGGACATTTTGAACTTGTCAGAGACACAAAAAGAGAATAAAACTTAAAAATATCCCAAAACTTTGATTTTGAGTTTAAGATGTCTGCATAAAAGTATCTTTGTCAACCAGGCATCTTATGTTGCCGTGGTTACCCACTGGATAATTCACAATAGCCTCCTCTACAGGGAGGAAGTATTCATCAGAAGAACAACAGAGAGAAATGGGAGGAATTCTGCAAGCTGAAAACTTTTCAAACTCAGTTCTACCTTCTTCTACATTTAAAACGTTCTCCTCCACATACTGACCCTTTTGTAAGTCCGGTAGCTTAATGCAGGCTGCTGAGAACTCCTGCTTTTGATAAGAGCACAGCAGCTCCAGTCCCAACGGAGACTTGCAGATATGGCAGTGGGGTGTTGCAGGAAGCTTAAATAATTAGGGGAATTGTTAATGAGTCGTTTAGAACACATATCTAATAACGTTTCAGCACTTTCTAAAATAAATATTCGTGAGTATCAAACATTTACTCATCTACCCATGGATGTAATTTTGGGGGGGGACAGGGGGGACATGTCCCCCCCACTTTTTCCAAAATCAAGTTTTGACCCCTGCACTTTTTACCATCCAAAAACAATATTACGCTATATTAAATTGACACTGGTTGAGCTCTAAGACCAAGCGTGTTGAAACCTGTTTCCCATTAGAGCATTCTGTAAAGACCCCCCCCCCCCCGTGTCCCTCCCACTTCTCAAGTGAAAATTACGTCCATGCATCTACCTCATTTACTGCAAAGCCGAAGAACATCAATCCTGAAAAACTGTCATTCAAAGCATCTGAGCACTAGGGGGCGGTGTTGTATACAAAATAGCAGCACAATAAGTGTAAAGCTAAAACCACAGCCTGAAATTATTAAATAAATTGAAAAAATTATGATGGGAAAGATTGCATTCTTGCTTATCCTGATAATTTGTGCAACTATTGATGTGACCTTGTTGCATGAACACACACACACACCCTACACCCATGCATGGATGCTCATGCACATCACCTCTCTGAGCTGCAGCATCTCCTTGTCCTTTTGCTCCAGCAGTCCTTCCAGTTGGTGGATGGTCATCTCCGCGTCAGCTAGGCGCCTTGTCCTTTCGTGGTCCTCCTCTGTTGCCCGTGACGACAGGCCTTTACTCTGCAACATTTCCAGTAACTTCTTTATGGACTCATCCCTGGAAAGGAAAAACCAGAGCACAGGTCATGCAGTAGCTGACATGCTGGCAGCCAGAGGAAGTCACACAATCTTGCTATTTATCTCCACCTGGCAGTTAACGTGTGTTTCTGCGTGTCGATCCTCAGCTCCATCTCCTCAACGGTCTTTCTCAGGAGGAAGAGCTCTTTGGCCTGCCGCTCGAATTCACCATGGAGACGCAGAAAGTTCTCCTCTGTCATCTCCTGAGGAGGAATGGGTGGGTTTCCGAGGCGACCGGAGTCAGAGTAGTCAGACTGGAAGAGCTGGTTGAGATCACGCTGGATTCTGAGCTCATCTTGTAATGCCTGGATGGTGCACTGAAGATGCTGGCAGGACAGAGGCAGAGAACATCTGTTCATCAATGCAAACATGTGGCATCACAGATGTTACACAACTGATTTATAGAGTGAAATAGGACTTTTCTGTTCTGTGGTGCAACCAGACAAATAAACACTAGCAGATCTGTGAAGCCAAAATTAATGCAAACTTTGTCCAACAAAGCAGAGTTTGTCTCATTGTGCAATTCTGCTTTGTGATCACTTGGAGCTCAAACATGAAAAAGTGACAATACTCAAAGAATCACAGCAAGCTCTGTGGGATCACAAGGCTGAGCTGAGGAACAATCGGCCTGATCTCTGCTGAGCGCGTTCAGTCGGGCTTCTGAAGAGCATTTTAGGCTCTATGCAACTAAAAACGTCTAAAAAAATCAGAAACAACTTGATCTAAATCCCAACACGTCACCCGAGTAACCAAACGGGATTCTATTAGTGATTACGAAACCGAATGTTCAAAAGTTATTAAAATCCTCAAAATTATCAAGATAAACTCTGGGTTCACCACATAGCAAAATAAAACATTTATGCTTGTTTACATCCGTTGTCACTTGAAAAATCAGGCGTGTTCAAATCCTGTTTAGGCTTGAGGCCATCAGGGTCTGTAATTACATAATCAGCTGTTCAAGTATTAATTCTTTAGTGTTTTACCTGCAGAACAAACTTCACACACACACACACACACACACACACGCACACGCACACGCACACGCACACACACACACACTTCAAATATGCACACTGCAAAACACATTCTGATTATATTTTAGCACAGTTTTATTATTTAAAATTATTATTTTACTGTCTATATGATTTTATTTATTACTTATTTTCTAACTTTTGTCTTTTATATTAGCTCTTTTATTATATTTTTACTCATTTTAATTCAGTGTTTCCTCTGTAGGGGCCCTCTGCCCCGGGAGCGGTGGTCGACTGTAGCTTCCTGGGTGCTCTATAGGTGGGGGTCTATGCTCCCCCTCCACTGAGCGCCCTGACTTGGTGTGGAAGAGCTGATGCTGCCGGGGCAGATGGCTCCTCTGATGGTGTTTCCTTGCCTTACCTTACTTGGCTCATCTGGACTCAGCCAGATATAATTTTTACCTGTGTGTGTGTGTGTGTGTGTGTGTGTGTGTGTGTGTGTGTGTGTGTGTGTGTCTGTGTGTGTCTGCGTGTGTGTGTGTGTGTGTGTGTGTGCTTGTGCGTGTGTGTGTGTGTGTGTGTGTGTGTGTGTGTGTGTGTGTGTGTGTGTGTGTGTCTGCGTGTGTGTGTGTGCGTGTGTGCATGTGCTTGCCTGTTAATGTTTCTAACCTGTTATAGGAATCTGGGGTCATTTTGTAAAGCACTTTGTTTGAAAAGCGCTTTATAAATAAATCTGATTGATTGATTCTGATAAATCTTTTTCTTTTCCATCCAATTAAGCAAAACGTTGCCAGATTTAATTATTTTTACCCCATTTAGCAACGTATTTACAAAAAAACTTTTGGCAACATTTTTATCAAATCAGACAGATCACAAATTAATTTAGTTGATTTATTTACCGCAATGGTCAATTTATGGATATTAAATGTCAAACTTTGTTTTCCTTATTTATGTATGACTTTTCTAAATGACAGCCTAAAACACAGCTCTAGTTATGGTTTGCATCTTACTGAAGGGAAATTGGCACAACCCACAAACAATAATCCCAAAACAGATCAACTAAACACAGATTTAAAAAGGAGAAAATCTCATTTATATGATTTTCTTACATTATTCTTAAATGGGAAAAGAAAACAGATGGCATAACTAGCTGCAATCTGCCATTTTATCACTAGATGGCGCCAAATTCTGTGTTTTCAAATTTAGATGGATATAAAACGTTCAGAAGTGCATCAGTAATGTACATCTTTGTAGGAAAAACATCAAACTGAAGCGTTTATTTAGAGAAATATTAAAATTAGAAACATTCCTAATTTACTGACTGAAACTCTGCGGTGAAGAGATGTATACGAGTAAACCTTGCTGCAGTGATCTTGGGCGACATTTGAAATGGACCATGATAGCATGTGTCTCGTTTCTGTAGCCGTGCCACAAACGCGTGCTGACAGGTGAGTATTGCAACCATCAGAAGTAAAGATGATGTGACACAACTAGGCCTGAGTCAGACCAACAGAACTGGTTCTAACTGTGAGGCCGCTGTGATGTCCCACGACTGCTCAAATGCGTCACATGTAACCTGAATGGAAGCCAGGTCACCGCCTCACGAGTGTTTCCAGATAAAAACAACACAGGTAGCAAAGAGATGAATGAGAGCAGAAGCAAAAAAAAAGAGATTAAGGAAAAAAAAGGATAGAAAATGATAAGAAACTGAAAGAAGGCAGAGGTGACATTATCCCCCTGCAGCTATCGCTAATTTGTTCTGAAGAGGAAGAGATTAAAGTAAACAGACAGATGGGTGGGAGGGCAAGGAAAAGAATTCCTAGATATGACAGGAGCAAAAGTAGACACACACACACACACACACACACACACACACACACACACACACACACACACACACACGTTAGAGAAAAAAATAAAAATATTTGAGTTAATTAGATCATTCAGGAGCTAATTTTAAATGATTGTTTTTTGAAGTTTGATGATCAGCTGCTTCCTCTTATCCAGTTTGTTTGTTTCTACTTCCCCACTCCAGCTGATAACCTTAAAGCGGGGGTATCAAACACATTTTAGCTCAGGGGCCACATTGAGGGAAATCTAGTCCCAAGTGGGCCGGACCGGTAAATTAAAAACAACTTCAGATTGTTTTCTTTGTTTTAATACAATCAATATAAAACAAGGCTGGAGCCTGAGGACAGTGTATCCAAAATAGTACAAGTACAACACCTGAAGTGTACTTGAAAATTTGAAAAAAATAAAAATAAAAAATCAATTAATAAAAAAAAATCCTTAGTGATTCAAAGAGCTTACAGGTCACATGGCTAGATCAGTTTCATGCAGCACTTAAAGTATATTTGACTCATTTTACTTTACATCTTTTAGCTTTCACCAGCACATCAACATCAGAAGTCACATCCTGAGTGGCAGCTAACTTCAGGATGTGATTCAAGTTCTTGTGTGAGCCTTGAGCGCTGCTTTGTTTTATTTAGACTCATTACAGAGAAAACTTGCTCACAAAGATAAGTTTATTTTCACTCTACATTGTAAAGTATGAAAATAAAGTTTACACAACCATCTCGCGGGCCGGATTTAACCCGCTTGCGGGCTGGATCCGGCCCACGGGCCGCATTTTTGACACCCCTGCCCTAAAGTGATTCCTTAATCATTCTTTGCCTTTACTGTAAAGTGAGTGTGTGTTAGCTTGCTGACCCGTGCAGTGGCTTCCCCTCACACACACTCACATGAGTTAATAGCTGACATTTCTAGGACTCACCATTAGACTAAGAGGCAGAGAAATGGATAAAAAGCCTCTTTTCTTTCACTTTGATATCCTTTCTCTGCTTTAATCCACCCGTTTCCATGCCAACACATCCTCCTCTATATGTTAAAGCACTGACCATCTCAGACAACAACAAACACGCTGCAGCACGCTTGTATGAAGAAACACTAATGAAGAGCTCTATAAGCTACAAGCTGCTGAAATATCTAAACATTAAATTAAGATGAATTTTATTTAAAACAGAAGAAAATCCAGAAAGACCAGCTGGATGTGGCCGTCGCTCCTTACGCTTCTCCTTTTCTGAGCTGGATGTTTGTGTTTTACCCTGTTCCTGCCCCGTGTGTCTGCCTGTCATTTTATTTTGAATTAATGTTGATTTTATAAAATCACAGTCCTGCAGAGTCTTTTCTTCTTAAAGCTCTTCGGGTTTGTTAAACTAGCTCACTTCTGCTTTCCTGCTCAGCTTTCTGTCGACATCCCCCTAGAATGTGTATCGAGCCACAATCATTTTACCACCGAAAAACACACAAGTACATAAAAAAAATGTTTAAATTCAAATAACATATTCAAAGAAGCCTCTTGAACTGAATTACAGTAACATTACAGTAACATTAGTTTACCCAATAGATTCAAGTAGGGATGAACAATATATCGGCATCAATATCTGTATCGGTCGATGTTAGTCATTTTTAACATATTGGTTCAATAAATAAAACCGGGCCGATATTAACAACCAATATTTTTTCCATCTCGTGTCCATTTATTTGCCTGTTTCAGAGGGTGAGGGGGGTGATGTGTAATTGTTTAGCCAAGTGACAGTGAATGAAATAATCTCAGAACCATCTCAGAATAATGTAAATTAATAATTTTCATTCCATACAAAATCTGCTGATTTTAGAAGCATTAATGTCAGTATATCGGTATCGGCAAATATCGGTTATCGGCCATAACGGTGATCTTAAAGGGACTTTTCGGACTTTTGAATTTTTATGCTCGCGATTGCCCCCTCAGGCCAAAAGCGTAACGGCAGCTTCAATAGTAGGCTCATGCACGAAGCGCGCATGCTGTACGTGCACACTCCTTAACGAAAATAACAGCTGAGACAGTCCCTTGCGTGCATGTGTGTGTGTGTGTGTGTGTGTGTGTGTGTGTGTGTGTGTGTGTGTGTGTGTGGCCCGGAGGACAGAAGAACACAGGAAATTAATAAAAAAATAATGTGCCTCTGTCTCTGCAGCTGCACTTTCTCGTTGGCCGGCCGAACGTGCAGTGTGTGTGTGTGTGTGTGTGTGGCCCGGAGGACAGAGGACAGGAGAACGCGCAGCTAATTAATTAAATCATTTGGTTCTGTACCTTTCTCTTCAGCACAGCCGACAAAGGTTTAAGATGGGTCAGTCCTCCTGCATGCTCAGATCATTCCCTTCCCTTACTTGAAAAATTGTTCCAAACTGAAAGTTCAACCCACATCTTTTTTATTTGTGAATTCAAAGCCGTTCGGCGAGTCTCAAAAAAAAAATTGGGCATCTTACTGTAAAAAAAAAAAAACATTAATGTAAAAAAGAAACTCCAAATGAACTAT